ATTTCACAGCCAGGCATGGTGGCTCACGCATGTAATTTCAGCACTTTGGGAGGCGAGGTGGGCGGATTGCTTGAGTTCAGGAGGTCAAGACTAGCCTGGGTAATGTGAAACTCCATCTCTACAAAATACTAAAATTTACCAGTCATGGTGGTGTGTACCTGTAGTCCAAGCTACTTGGGGGCGCTGAGGCGGGAGGATTATTTGAGCCTGGGAGGCAGAGGTTGCAGTGAACCGAGATCATGCCACTGCACTCCAGCCTGGGTGACACAACAAGACCCTGTCTCAAAAAAAAAAAACAACTTTATTTTAGGTGTGTATGTATAAGAAAAGACATATATATGTATATGTGTGTATATATATGATTTGATACTATTCTTTGCCAGTTTATTGTAAAGGATACACCTTAGAAACAGCCAAATAATTGAAGAGATACATAGGGCAGGGTGTGGGTGGAGTGGGGTGGGGTAGGGTAAGGCATGATGAAGAGCTTTCCTGCTCTCTGGGTATGCCACCCTCCCAGCCCTAGGATGTGTTTACCAACCCAGAAACTCTACAAATCTCATGTATGGGAGTTTTTATAGAGCTCAGTCTCTAGTTCCCAACCCTCCTTTTCCCAGATGTAGGAGATTGGTGGGTGAGACTCAAAGTTCCAGTCCTCTAAGCCAGCATGGTGGAGCGCGCCTGTAGTTCCAGCTATTTGGGAGAGTGAGACAAGAGGATCGGTTGAGCCCCCCAGGAGTTTGAGTCCAGCCTGGGCAACATAGCAAGACCCTGTCTCAAAATAGAAAAAGAAAGTTTCAACCCTGTAATCACTTGGTCTTTCTGGTGACTAGTCCATCATGAGGCTATCTAGAGACTTCACTCTGTCAACTCAACATAAACTCAGGTGTAATCACAAAGGGCTTATTATGAATAACAGAATACAATCCTATATCACTTAGTAAATCCCAGGAGTTTTAGCTCTTTGCCAAGAAGGGGGACAAATGTATTTTTGTATTATACTACATCTGTGCTGATATGGTAGCCACTGACTTTTTAATTTTACTTATTTCAACTAATTGAAATGGAAACTTAAAACAGCTTCATGACTACTGACTATCTTTTTAGGCAGTGCAGCCCTATACAATTATAAAGTTGTTTTTTTTCCTACTGTCTTCTGCCCTTCAGCACTAAACTATGAAATTTTGAGAACAGAGATTGTTCAACATTATACTTTCAGAGTTTTTTGCTTATGATAGAAGCTCAAATATATTTAGCAGTGGATTCAGTTTAGCAAATAATTGAATTCTATGTTCAGATTAGCTTTTTTTGGTGGGAACACAGAGGTAAGAGAAACATAAATCCCTTGCTGCCCTCAGATTGCTTACAGTCTAGTGATGTAAACAAATTACAGTGTTGTATAATAAAAATGGGTATTGTTGCACTTAGTCCATGGAATTGTGAATGGTTAGGCTGTTTGGATGAGTCAGAGCATAGTACATACAATACCTGAGGTATAGTGAGTGGGTGTTCAGTAAATCTCACTGAATGAATGAATGAATTCTAGTCTCAGTTCTACCATTAACTGCCTTTTTGAGCAGGTTGCCTAGTCTTTGAGCCTTAATTTTCTTATCCCTGAAATGAGAATGCTATGCGTATTTTAGGCTCTGAGTTTTTTGACTGGCAGGACCATGTTTCATTAATCCTTGGATATATTTTTGCCTATAATATAGTAGATGTCTAGTAAATGTTTTAGTAAATCCTTAATCCCAACAAGATAAAGGATGTTAAAACACTTTCATTAATGTGCTTATATTATTGTCATATATCATTGATTGGGAGATGACTGACTTGAAAAGTGGAAAGAGAATTTGGATTCCCCAGAGGTAACAATGACCTTTCATTTTGACATTTTTTTTGGCTGCAGCTGTCCTCTAATGATTTGAGATTTTCACTTCTTTCCTTTATTGCCAGTGGAAATTATGAAAGAAATTAATGTTGAATCTAACACATTTGGGGCAACAGTTTTAAGGGGACTATGATGAGCTCACTCCATTACTCTCACGGTGATTGAAGAGCTAGCCCTTTCCAAGTTGTCAGGTTTTTTTTTTTTTTCTTGTTTTTAACAGCAGACACTCAGATGGGACTTGTTCTGTTTAAATGTCATGTTGGGTTTATTGAACTTGATGACAGACTTGATATGCCCCTTGGGCATTTATTTATGGCTTGATGTCAGAAATCCAGGCACAGATTGCTCTGAAGAGCTCCCTTCCATGTGGTGTGGCAAGCAAAGCATTTTTGTTTATTTCTGTTTGATTTTGGAGCATATGCTTGAACAGATTTAGATATGCTTTCTCTATTTGTAGGTAAGTTCATCTTTCTCTTTTTTTTAATTGAAAGGATAATATAGATTAATAAAGAAAAATGAGGAAAATGTTGGTACGATGAAGTAGACCTGATAAACTCATGTTTGAATTGCACTGCTGTTATTTATCAGCCTTGTGACCCTGGATATTTATATGATTTCAGACTATGTTTTCCTGTGAACCTTTGTCAAAGAGGATTAAATGAATGGATGGATATAGTATATATAGTGAGGTACTCAGCACAAAGGGAAAGGGCCTCAAATCTGTTATACAGTGTCCTCTACCGCATATATGTCACCTAACTTTTGGTGGTGTGTCTGTGGTAACAATGAAGTCTCTCAAAAATTCAGACTGCTTTCTGAGAATGAATCTAGTCATGAATCCCCCCATATAGATTATGGGTTCAGCCATAGATAGAAATAAACCAAGTAATGGCCTATAAATCTGACTGAAGAGATGGGAGCACTAAAGATTTGGACAAGACAATCTGGGTATAATTCCAGGGAAAAGGGATTGGGATGAAATTATAATTTAGGAGACTGAAATCATAATATTCTGTTGTTGTTTTTTTTCCTTCTTGAGACGGAGTCTTGCTCTGTCGTCCTAGCTGGAGTACAGTTGCACGATCTCAGCTCTCTGCAACCTCTGCTTCCTGGGTTCAAGTGATTCTCATGCCTCAGCCTCCTTAGTAGGTGGCACTATAGGCAAGTGCCACCATGCCTGGCTGATTTTTGTATTTTTTTAGTAGAGATGGGATTTCACCATGTTGGTCAGGCTGGTCTTGAACTTCTGACCTTAAGTGATCCACCCACCTCAGCCTCCCAAAGTACTGAGTCACTGTGCCTGTCCTGTATGATAATATTCTATTGAGGGAGAGAATTATGGGAACAAGCAGGGAGTTCTTAGCTTAAAACATAGTAAACATAGTAAAAGAAAGGCTGAGTGCTTGAAGTTGGTGGAGTTTATCTTGCCTTATTTAGGGCAGAAATTAATCTGATTATATGAACTGTAGAGATGGATTTTTTTTATGAGGAAGTGATAGTCCACTAAACCTTCTGGACAAAAAAAAAATCTCAAAAACAGTTGTCTCCCTTTTGTTGTGATTCCATGTGGGAGCAATTTCTGATCACTAATGTAATTGTACAGGTATTAAATACCTAGGCAGCAGCTAGTTTACCTAGATGAGGACTGAGAACCTTCCAGGTATAAGGAAAGTATATCTTGTAATGTAAATTAATAAACTGGTGAATTGTATCTCTCTTTGAACCAGACACTAAAGTGACATTCTAGTTAATGTATTTTAGTACATAAGCATCTGTATGCTGAAGACTTACATATGCAACTGCCTACTTGACATTTACATTCAAGACCCAGGACAAGGGCTAGATGATGTCTTTTTTAAATTCACTGTATAAGCTAAGGCCTTAAGGTAATAAGCTGTTAATATCTCAACTTTAATAATCCTGTACCCCATTATAACTATTTTTATATTTCCTTTTTGTCTATGTCCATGTGAGACATAGTTTCACATTATTTCAATCATAGTGTATATTATTATTTAGTGTTAGTTTTGTTATAAGTTTTGTGATTGGAAATAATTCATGCTTATCATAGAAAAATGGAAAAAAACCACAACAGAAAATGATCATTATGTGATGTTACTACCATACAGAGATAGGCACTGTTAACATTTTGGTGTATTTCTTTTTTTCTTTTTTTTTTTTTTTT